AAGGCGGACATGCCTAGGGCCGCATGTTGGGTTATTGATCAAGTTTGTGCTCGATGGGGAAGAGGTTACAAATATCATAAGCACGATGAAGAAGAAAGGGAAAGAGTAGGACGCCAAGTGATGATATCAAGGATGCGATGCAGATGGACACAGGGTGGCCGCGCCCGTCGGAGGAGATGGAAGAGGAGGAACAGAGGAAGAGGGGAGGAGGAGGAAAAGGAGGAGGAGGAGGAGGCGGAGGAGGAGGTGGAAGAGGTGGAAGACATGGGACTAGGACCGATGACAAAGGAAGAAAAAAGAAGGGGGAGGGGGGGAGAGGGGAGAGGGAGGGGGAGGACGGGAGGAGGGGGAGCTGCGAGAAGGACGGCTGCACTTGTCAACTGCCACCGCCGACTCTCACCACAACGCGCCAGGCACAGCAGCATGAAACTGAGCGGAAACGTGGAAGGCCTATGTGGACGCCGCTTCGCTCATCCCTGGTCCCCCGATGCTCGGCTATTCATCGGCTGCTTAAAATAGACGCACATGGGCGGAAGGACGAGAAATTCCATTCGCCACTCTCCTCCCACTCATTTTCTTCAGACCCCCCTTATCATCGCCATCATCGTCTTCCTCATGATCACCATCCACAACCGCATCGTCGTCATTATCTTCACCATCGTTATCATGATCGCTGTCGACCTCAGCATCATCATCATTGTCATCCGAATCATCATGATCAGCCTCTTCATCATCAACAACATACCCATCATCAGCATCATCACCATAAGATCATAATCTTCATCATCAGCATCATCGTCATCATCATCATTGTCATCATCGTCATCGTCATCATCGTCATCGTCATCGTCATCGTCGTCGTCAACCTCATCATCTTCGCGATGATCGTCATCATCCCTACACTTTCGATCCTTGGACTTCTTCGAAACTGCGTTCTGGCCAGAAACTAGATGGTGGATCCAGCCCAGGCAACGAGGGCGCTTCCAAGAGGTTCAAGACCGTGCAAAGACACCCCTCCTTCATGGTAAGTACAGCAAACAGCAGCATCAGCGTGAACGTAGGAGGTTTGCGCTGCTTTCCTGGGTCGGCTCTGGACTCGCATCCCCGCTCCCCTTCACCGGTGCGCGAAGCGCGCCGCGGGCGGCGGGAGGCGGGTCCAGCAACGACCCGAGAAATCTGCGCGGGCACTCGAGTCTACGCCTGGACCTGTTTTTGCTCCGCGAAATCTTCGCCCACCCTGAGTCTCGAGGGCGGACGATAGGCTACGCCTGTCCCCCACTCCTGCATCCCTCTTCCTTACCCACAACTCCCCCCTGTCAGACCAGTCGTTTGAGCGGGCCAGGCGTTTCGCCTGAGACTTCCTTCCCATTTACGATATTGAAGCTTGAACTCTCGACCAAATGCACGGATGGAGGGCGGGTGGTTCTCAAAATCAGGCTCTCGCCAAGACGCCGTGCCTACTCGTCTTGAAGATGTCGGAAAGGTACACCGATGCAAGCGAATCGTTTTCAGAAGGGGGCTCTCACCTTGGCGGCGCGCAGCCTTGTCATTCAATTTGAAAATTACACAGCAGACAGCCGCATGGATGGGCAGTGAGTCTTTCTCAAAAATTAACTCTCACCTGAGCATTCTCCAGATTACATGATCAGACGTCGACATTAGGCATCATCTACACGGATGTAGGGGGGCTCCTTTTCAAACCAGGTCCATTACTGAACTCATCCTTCAACAGTATGCTCCCACCGCGTCGGATTCCTTACAAATGATAACTCGAAGGTTGGAAGGCAGCTCCGCTTCAAAACGGACCTCCTGCCTGAATTGCAGAGGGGTGCGTTGTCTTTCATGGGGGGGCGGTTCGCGCAGTGGAAGAAAAACCTGGAGGACTTCTGCGCAGAGGTGGATTGCAGCATCACTGACACAGCTCTTGCTTATGCTGATAACCCTCCTCCTTGTCACCGTCATCCTCGACCTCCTCATCAGCAAAGTCAGTCATCGTATACGTCATCGTCATCCTCATCATCATCATCAACAACAGCAATCACAACAACAAACACAACAGCAGCAACAACAACAACGACGACAAAGACAACGACAACGACAACAACATCAACATCAACAACAACCACAATAACAGCTACATCAACATCAACAACATCATCAGCAGCAGCATCATTATCATCATCGTCATCAGCATCTTCATGTTCGTTGTCATTATCAGTTTCCTCCTCATGCTCAGCGTCACCTTCACCACCATCGAACACAAACCATCAAACACACAAGTTATAATCATCACCGCTACCATCATCATCATCATCAGCATCATTATCATCACCAGCATCGTCATCGTCATCGTCATCGTCGTCGTCATCGTCATCGTCATCGTCGTCATCAACGTCCTCATCCTGGTCATCCTCTCCCCGTCCTCCTCGTCCTCGTCGTCGTCATCGTCGACATCCTCGTCCTGGTCATCCTCTCCCCGTCATCCTCCTGATCGTCGTCGTCGTTGCTTTCGCCCTCCCAAGGGTGGGCGAGGGCGGGCGAGGCGCTCCACCTCACCCGTGCGCCCGCCTGTCCCGCCCGGCGCCGCCCCGGAACCAGAAGAGCCTGCCGCCCGCGGTGCCAGAGCCCGGGCTCTTGAGCAGCGGGAAGGCCACCTCGGCGGGCCGCCCTCCCGGCAGCGGGCGACGGGTTCCTCCTCCTCAGCACGGTCACCATGGACAGCATCATCATCACCACGGCCACCATCGTCACTGCGGCCACCATCGTCGGCCTCCTCGTCAACACCATGAGCATCACTAGGATCATCGCCTTCATCACAAACACCATGACCGCCGACATAATGAACATCGTCGGCGGCCATCGTTATGATGGTCGTACTTAGCACAATCGTCATCGCCATGTTCATCAGCATCGTCATCATCATCATCATCATCATCATCATCATCATCATCATCATCATCAACAGTCACCGTCGTCCTACATCATCCAGCCTTCACATGCTTATTGTTTTCTCGTGCCACATCCCCCATCATCGTAACCATGCACAAACGCTACAAGCATCATCATCATCATCACCACCAGCATCATCATCATCATCATCATCATCATCATCATCATCATCATCACTCATCATCAGAATCAGCATCAGTATCATCATCAGCAGCATCATCATCACCACCACAACCACCATCACCATAACCATCATCATCATAACCATTATTACCACCATCATCACCACCATCATCATCAGCTGCATCATCATGATCGCTTACCCCTGTGGTTTTCGCGGGAAACGGCTCCCCCTACTACACTCGCTGGTCAAAGCGACTCGGATCCGAAAAAGAAAACTCAAGGGGGGCTGCGCCCACACCAGGCCTCGCTCACCAAAACACGTATTGGAAAAATTAGGGTAAGCCCGACTGGCTCGAGAACGGAGAAGAGCCAGGATGACGACTGAATGAAACGATGGAAACGATGGGGATGGATGCGACCAACGCCCGACATTCCGCCAAGACGATGAAAAAACTATGCTTCCGACGCCCGAATTTCCGTTAAGTCATTTTTTTGCACGCACCCCCATGACTTACCCAGGCTTTTCTCGCGGGGAACGGTTCTCTCTACTGCACTCGCTGGCCAAGGCGACTCGGATCCAAAGGGGGAAAGGCCAGAGGGGGTTCCGCCCCCACCCCGCCTCGTTCACCAAAACACATCCAAACTCAGATTCCCAAATCAGACGCTGCTCCCACACTGATAACTAGCGGGCCCGAGGGTCGCAGAAAACGGTACTAGCTAAAGCATCACGATGATTCGTGTACCAGTTCACCTGGACGCGGAACGCACACGTGCGGCTCATGTCCGTCTCGGGCACGCTTGCCCATGCATTTCTAGCCTCGTCAGGTTTTCAAATTGGAACGAAACAGCACGCGGACAAGCTGCTGCATCCCCCACATCTGCACATGCGAAAGACACGGACTCAGACCAACAGGCTCCGAAACCACTCACGGCAGGCAGAATGTCATGCTGACAGGCCTCACCAACGACTCTTCTGAGGGGGCGCGGCACTGAAGTTGCATCCAAAGACGTGAGCACGCCTCCTATAGATCCTGACTGGATGCCCCGTCGAAGGGATTGCGAGACGGCACTGGTCACGGAGTCGAGGGCGGTGAATCTCAACGAGCAACCGCCCGAAACGATTTGCCCAGGCAGCCTGACTCGAAAACTCATCACAAGGGTGAAGAGCCAAAGCCATTTTACACGCAAAGGGAAGGACCTTGGCAGAACCTGGCCGCGCGCCAAGATCCCCACGAATCTCCCCGCGCACGCCTCCACGCGAGCCCGAAGCCAGATAAGGCGCCGCGTCCGATTCGATGATGGACGAGCATCTTCTCGCGCCGAACGCCGGAACGGTCGGCCTCCAAACCCCCCGCTCTGCGACCTCGCCAAGCGCCCGCTCGCGAATGGCCGCGTCTGCGCCCGCCCAACGGCGGCGCGCCTGGCACGCGACATGGTTGAACCCCAACCCCTGAGATACCTCCCGCACCGTCGCCGCCAGCCTCGGATTGATGAAGACCCAAGACGGTCGGCCTGGTGACGTCTGCTCCGCTGCCTCCCGCATCGGACGGAAGGGCTCCCACCCAGCACGGTCCAGCTCGATGGTCGCGCGGAGCATGACGTCCGAGGGGACATCGCCAGGCCCGGGGTAGGGCGCCTCCCGAGACGGCGCGCAGAGGCACTCGAGCTCCAGGGTCGTGAGCTGGAGTGGCCACACGTAGACGCTCCACGCCAGGCGCGGGAAGAGGGCCATGCAGTACCGGCCCAGGGCGCAGGGCCCGTTCATCACAATACACCAGGTCGGCCGAGCCGCGGGAAGTCGCGACCCCCATGGACATCGGCTCGGAAGCGCAGGGCCCGCACGTCGGAAGCACAGGGCCCGCCTCGGCCCCCCGTCTCCACGTCGGGGAACTCCGCGGCGCAGATCGGGAAGGCCAGGCCGCGCAAAACACGACCCTCCAGCACGAAAGGAACACGGGAAATGCGGTGCATAGATACGGATGCGGTGGCCAAGCCTTCGGCCGCGCGCTTCCTCGAAAGCCGCGCGCTCGGCGCTGCCGCGGCACGCGCGGGCGCAGATGTTCGCGCCCGATATCGGCAGGGACAGGGGCTCAGAATCACGGGAAGAACCTGGGGCCAAAACGGCTCTGAAAGTTCGGGGAGGCGCAGCTGCTGTCGCATAATTTCTCCAGGAGGGCTCGGCTGCAAACCAGGCTACACAACTGACTAGACAGGCTACCTGGGCCCACGACACTCAGATCAGGGACACGGCAAACCGCGAAGGCGCTGCCCAAAACGGTGCCCTGGGGAGCGCCCAAAGGGCCGGCAGCCACGAGAAGCCAAGGAAACGACTCGGGCGAGCTTGAGAACGTCGACTGCCCCACCGCGGCCCCAAGGGTCTGGTCAAAGCCACAGGGGGCTTAGCGAGGAGGGCGGTCCACATCATCCCCCGCCGCATCACGAGACTGCTTGCCTGGCAGATCCATGCGAGAGGGGCAGCCAGCAGGATTCTTTCCTGACGGAATCCACCGCGCTGAAAGGTGAACGTTGCGGCCGAGGCACCACGCAGCCATCCACCTCGGACCCCCAGAATCTGACAATTTCGGCTGCGCCTGCGACCGACTGACAGCACGAGCCCCAGGTTACCGGCGGAAAGAACCAGGCGGGCACCGCGGCCGAAACGCGCGCGAGTCACGCGCTCCAGGCCTCGCGAAAACGCGCGGGCCTCGAGGGCCATGATATCCCGGGGCCCCGAAAACAGCCAGCCTCCGACCACGGTCCAAAAGGCCCCCTCAGTCTCCAAAGCAGGCACCTCGGCAAAGGACGGAACAGACTCCGAATCGCCACGCCCCAAACAACTCCCGAAGTCCGAAGCATCAGCGACGCGGGCTGGAGACCCGCCGAGAGCCGCGATCGGGAATTTACAAATGATATTGGACGCCAGTATTTTAGAGGGACAGAGGTACTTATTGGAATTAAACTGGGACAGAACAATACAAATCCAAATTTCCACTACGGGCGTGGTGAGGGAACCAAATGGGGATCCAATCAAAACAGCGAGAAAAGCAGTGTACCTGGGAGGCTTGATTTCTTGCGACAGTCGCGCTGGAAATGAATTATCTCGAATGCTGGGGAAATAGGGCGCCATCTTTCGCGATTTTGGCAAAATCTGGGCGCACGCTTCTGTAGCGTCGCGCCTGAAACTGCAGTTTTTGTCCCGCTTGTGTCGTCAGCAAGCTCCTATATTCACTCGCTTATCTTTGGCTTGTGACATCGGACAGATCAAGGATTGATGCTTTCCAGTGCAAATGTCTGAGAAACATACTGAATCTTCCATGTTCGTACATGTATCGGGTATGTAATGCCACAGTTCTGGTGAAAGCATGTATGAACACGTCGTCGAATATCTTGCACGGTCGGCACATCCAGCTATACAAGAAGATCGCTTCGCACGAAGCACATTCATTAGTAAGACAAGTGAGAAGCAATTCCGACTGCACACCTAAACAATGGGCTTACCAGAGACGCAGAGGCCGCCCACGGCAACAATGGGTGCAGTCAGTATACCACATGGTCTAAAGGCTGATTTGATCCATCCCCGTCGTCATCTATCATCTTCAATTCGGCGCCAGCGTTTGACCGTGTTCTCTCGCCTGTCGCCGCTCTCCACAACGTTTGGCTGTCAGTTTGCTCTGCCTACGCGTCCACTCGGATGCAAGGCTGCTGTACTGTACTGTACTTCCTGCTGTTATCACCCCTATTATCATCCTCTTTCTCATCAGCACCATCATCATCATCATGCCTCCTCACTCTGCGTTATTATCCGGCCTCCTTCTGCCTCCTTCTGCCTCCACCTCCTTGTTTCTTTTCATCAACTTTCCCACGCACTCCTCGTCATGCCTCATCATCATCATAATCATCATCATCATCATCATCATCATCAGCATCGTCATCATCATCATCATCATCATCATCATAGTCATCATCATCATCATCATCATCATCATCATCATCATCATCATCATCATCATCATCCTCATCCTCATCATCATCATCATCATCATCATCATCATCATCATCATCATCATCATCATCATCATCATCATCATCATCGTCATCATCATCACCACCGCAACCACCATCATCATAATCGTCATGATCAGCAGAATCATCACCCTATACACATGCACACACCTGCGTATTGTATGTCCCTGTATTCACCGAAGCCGGTAGTGTCTAACCAAGGACCTCAACTGGGAAAGCGCGGGAGGGAGAAGATGGCCACGCCAGCATGGCTGAAAGAGACGCAAATGACTGGGTTCAGAAGGTTGCGACCTGAATTAGGCATAACGGAGCTTCCTGCTGGGGGCTACAGTGGGAGGAGGAGGAGGAGGAGGAAGAAAAAGAAGAAGGAAAGAGAGGGAGGAAGAGAAGCAGGAAAGTGGGAAAGGGGAAAAATAGGAGAAGAAGAGAATGGAATGATGACGATGACGATGAAGGGGAGGGTAGGAAGGCGTACCAGGAGGAGGAGACGGGGGAGGGGGAGGGAGGCAAGCTAGGTGCGCTCGCGTCATATCTGACGTCCTACCCCTCCCTCCCATCCCTTACCATGGCGCTGATTTTCTCTATCCGCGGACGCGTGTCGTAGCGGACCTGTGGCTCCGCGCGCGCGTGCGTAGTGGGTGGTGGTGCACGTGCGTGTGTGCGTGCGTGTGTGCGTGGTTGTCGTGGTGGTGGTGGTGGTGGTGGTAGTGGTGGTGGTGGTGGTGGTGGTGGTGGTGGTGGCGGTGGTGATGGTGGTGGTGGTGGTGCTGGTGGTGGTGGTGGTGGTGCTGGTGGTGGTGGTGTTGGTACTGGTGCTGGTGCTGGTGGTGGTTGTGGTGGTGGTGGTGGTGGTGGTGGTGGTGGTGGCGGTGCGGCGCGGTGGTGGCGGGCGGATGGGCGCGCGAGAAAAAGGCCCGCGCTGGGGCGAGAACGCCATCCTGAACGACGGAGGCCAAACACCGATCCGAAAATGAGGCCCACGCTGCAGCGGGAGCACGATTCGGAACGATTCGGGAGCAGAAATGAGGCCGGCGCCTCAACGAGAGCAGCATTTTGGGAAAAAATGACGCCGGCGCCTCAGCGAGAGTCGTTTCCCGGGATTTCCCGGGCATCCTGTGTGTAAAAAAACAGTACGCGGAGGGTGCGCGGCCATCACCCGGACGCCATCAGGGGAAGAGGGAGAGTATTTTCATATTGAGTAATTGTTGAGGGAGAAATAGGGGATCGCAGAATCTCGTCGTTGTCCTTAGTCGGTCTTAGTCGGTTATACTGGCCCCAAAGGAATCCCACCAGCCATTTACGGCGTAGGTGGTCTAAGGAGCTTCCACTTCCAGCCCACATATTACCCTTTTGGGAGGGGTCGATCACTGTTCCCTACTAATACACCCCTCTCCCCCACCTGACCAGGGGCGAACCTGGAACCATGCCAACACCCCCACACAAACCATCCCTGTCAAAAAGCAATACAAAGCGCGCGTTGCGGCAAAATCTGGACCACGCGCGGGCACAAAGCGATCACGTTGCAATGATTTCGACATGGGCGAAGGGAGTGCCCGCATATTGCCTGCTGCGCGCAGGTCCCATCATCCCTACCAAGAGAGCTACATTCAGTTTCCGGCAACGGTCATGCGTGGGCACCGCGCGATCATTTTGCATGGATATTTGTCAGGGGTGATGAAGTGACACAGACACGCGCGGCGCACCTCGCGGGCATCGAGCACCTGGCTGGCGTCTGCATTGGTTCCCAATGGTGGTCAATAGCGGCCCCTGCCCATACTGAGACGCGAATGCTACCTATGTAGTTGGAGAGCGGGTGAGAGTGAGCAAGACTGCCGTCCTTCGGGGGGAGTAGCTTGAACACTGCTCCGTAGTAATACACACCACCCCGACCGGCGACAAACCACGGCCAATGCAAACCCAACCTAACATCCCTATCAACAAAAGTCCAAAGCATACCTTGAAGAAAAACCTTGCACCGTGCGCGGGCCCCCCACGATCACTTGGTATTGCGACTGTTGACAGGGATGGCGGGGGATCCAATATATTGTCTGGTATGTCGGGCCCACCACCCCTGTTGGCAAACATACAAAATACACTGTAGCTAAATATTGGATCATGCGCGGGTCCCCCACGATCCCTTTGCATTGATTTCTTGACAGGGATGGCGGGGGTGCTGGCGTATTGTCAGGTGTGCGCGGGCCCACCATCCCTGCCAAAAGACAATTCAAAACACACGTTGCGGCAAAATCTTGGACCATGCGCGGGTCCCCGCGATCACTTCGCATTGTCTTGACAAGAATGGCGGGGAACCTGGTATATTGTGTGGTGTGTGCGGGCCCACCCACGGTTCTTGTCAAAAGACAGCTTAAAGCGCACTATGCGGCAAAATCTTGGACCATGCGCGGAGGCCCCATGATCACTTCGCATTGCTGTTTGACAGGCGAATTGTCTGGTGCGCGGGGGCGCACCATCCCTGTCAACATACATTTACATGACTACTGGTGCACACACACACCATGCTGATCACTCTGCCGCCATTCCGCACTATCGTTTGACAAGGATGCTGGGGGGGCAACATGAACCCCGATGTGTACTGTCATGTGTACTGGCGCACATGGCAATCTGCGCGCGCCCCGCACGTGGCATACCTGGCGCGGGTAGAGCACGTGGCACACTCAGCGCATGTGGAGCCCGAGGCGCCTCTAGCGC